ATTAAATTATTGACTAAAAATTTCTATTTTAAATTTTATTTAATTTTAAAAGTTAAAAAAAAAAAAAAATTATTTTATATATAAAAATATTATATAAATATAATATGTATATATTTTTTTATTTATAATTTTTATTAAAATAAAAAAATTAACAAATTAAAAAGGCATTAACTAATAGTAAATGTAATTTATTTTTGTTAATTAAATTATTATGATAAAAAACTAATTTTTATGAAAAAACAACATAAAAAATAATTAATGAAATATATATTATTATAAAAATAAATATAAATTATTAATAGAAACAAAAATAACTAAATTTTTATTAAAAATTATTATAAATAGAAAAAACATTTAAAAAATAATAAAAAAACATAAATATCTTTTATTTATGTATGATAAAAAAAAATTAATTTTAGCAATTTTTATTATATTTTATATTTATTACAAAGGATATTATTTTATTATTTAATATATGTAAAAATATGCATGCATATATATATATATATTATATAAATTTATTTTTTTATCTTATTATAATTTTAATTTATTATAATATTTTATTTTTTAATTTTTTAAAAATATTGATTTTTTTTAATATTTCTTTTATTAAAAATTTCATATTTTTTTTTGATAAAAAAAATATAAATTAAAATTAAGATAATGCATCTTTGAAATATACCATAAATAACTTAATCAAAAATATCCTATAACATAATATAAATATACATAAATCATTCAAATATAAATTTCATACATATATTTAAATTTAAGTATAATATTTTTCCTATAAACAATATTTATAATTCTGTTAAAATATAAACAATATTTTGGCATTAAAATTTATATATCATAAAAATTAATAAAATAGAAATAATATGTTTTTATCTATAATAAAATTTGATATATAAATTTCTCATTTGTTTAAATCTAAAATAATTAAAATTTTAAATTTTTTTACAGAAAATGATAATCAATTTTTTTAATTTATTTCAATATTAAAATATATAAAATAATAAAAATTAAAAAAAAGTAAATAAATTAATATATATCATTATTAATTTTTTTTTTCTTAACAATATATAATTAAAAAAACATTTTGAATATAATAAATTATAAGTGCTAATTTTAATACATTATAATAAAAAAATTAAATAAAAAAGTATTTTATTATGAAATTAATTATATATATATATTTAAATTATAATTATATATATATATATATATATACTTAAATTTATTAATTATTATAATAATTTTTTTAAAAAAATTTCCTATATAAATTTTTTATATAATATATATAATAAGCTTTTTAAATTATGATTATAAATATAATCTTTTTATAAAATAAAAATATTTATCTTTTGTAACTTAAACAAAAAATAATATTTATTAGAATTTAAAAAGTAATATATTTTAAGCAAATTAATATTTATTATTTATTTCATAATTAAAATCATTTAATTTTTAGATATTTTTTAATTTTTTTTTACATCAATTTATTGTTAAATTTATTTTAAATTCAAGTAAAAACCTAATTATTATTTAATATATGATATTAATTTTTTAATTTTACTATATATGAAATATATAATAATTAATTTTAATACATGTATATTTTTTATAAAATTATAATCTTATTTGTACAATAAATCTTAAATTAAATAAATAATTATTATTTTAAATTTATATTTGTAGTATATTAAATTTAGACTTTAATAAAATAATATATATATTTATTTAAAGACAAAAATAATTTTTTTAATTATTTAATATAGTGGATTATAATATGATGATAACATAATAATACTTAATTAAATTTTATAAAATTATATTTAATTAGATTGAAATTATCATATTTTATTTAATTTTTTTTCTAAACAATATTTATTTAATATTAAAGTTATTTTTATTTAATAATTATATATTTTATTTGATAATAAAAATAAATAATACAAAAAAATTATTAATTATTATATTTTAAGACTTATTTTATTATAAATAAAAAATATTAAATAAAATTTATATATTAAAACTAATATTATTTATTTTCTAATTTATAATTTAAAAATTAATTATTTTTTTATACAATAATATTATCTTTAAAAATTATGAATTTAAAGAATTAATTAATTATAATATCTCACCATTTTTCTTATTTTAAATTTACCATAAAAATAAATTAAGACAAGTAATACTAGCTTTAAAACTTTAATAATTAATCTATTATTAAATAATCTTTATTAATAATTTGTAGAAAATAAACAAATAATAAAAAGAAATCATTTTCTAATAAATATAATAAAATAAAATTATTTTATATAATTTTGATATAATAAATAATATTTTAATTTAATTAATTATATAATTTTAAATATAAAAAAAAATGATTAATAAAAAGTTAGTATTATTACTATTTTTATAATTGATTATAATTCAAAATGATAATTTATTAAAATATCCACTATAAATATATAAATTTTGGATCGAAATTGAAGAACTATCTGCCGTAATAATAAGTCCAATATTGGAAAATGAAGAAAATTATTACTATTTACTTTATTTAGATTTGTAAGGTTTTATAACAAAGTAAATAAAGCTAGAAGGAATTACCAATAAAATATAAAAAAGTACTTATTTAGTTGAAACAAAATAGGGCCGACCAAAATTATTTTTAATAAATACTGTATATCATAATTACTAAGTAATAGACATTATAGACATTAATTTAATGGGTAGCAATAGTGTATATAATGTTCCCAATCCATAATAATTTTCTTTATCAAATAAATATACTATAGATTTAGTTCCAATTAATGTTGAGAAAAGTTAAAAAATAATATTTGATAATCAATATTACGCATTTTATAAAAATGATTTTTTTGATGATAATTGTGAATAAATCCCAATTTCATAAAATAATTTAAATGATATATCAGGATTTTGTTCTACAAACAAAATTATTATTTCCCGTAGTATTCATGGATACCTTGGGATTATGATTTATAAAGGGAGAAGATATGATATATCCGAATTTTCTTCAATATAAGTGCATTATAGTAATTGATGATAATATTGGCCTTGTTATGGCATCAAAGAAGTTAATAAGCTTGTCTTAATTTATCTATTCTGGAAATACTGTTACTTTTGAATTAGAAAATATTTCTCAACTCATCGGAATTTTAATTTTCTGATATTTTGGATTTTGGAATTGGGAAGAAAATTATTTGCTTGGGAAATAATGGAGCTTGGTAATTTTACGATTTGGTTACTTTTGAACAAGTAAAATTGACAAATGATAGTTCGCCAATTTAATTTGGAAAATACTATGATATTTTGACTTATGAATCGATTATTATTTTTGGAAATATTGTGTATGATATATCTTATGATTCAGCTTTAAATAGAGTTCGAGTGATCTAAAGAGCAGATTAAAAAAATAAATATTATACACTTCCTATAAATGACCATAGAAAAAGATATTAATTTAAAAAAGGACAAGTTTTAATAGTGGATGATGAAAATCATAATGATTAATATCTTTATATGCAAACTATTGAAAACATAATTTGTAATGATAATGAGTATATAAATAGTAGTCTAAAATGTATTTAATGTAAAACTAATGAAATTTTTGAAGGTGATAAATGTGTAGCTTGTCCTGAAGGGACATTTAAGCTAAATAATAGTGATAGAAAATGTACTAAATGTATGAAAGGATGTATATCTTGTACTAATGAAACTTCTTGCACTACATGTGATAAAGGTTATTATAAAAATACTTTAAGTGGAAAATGTAATATTGATTGTAAAACTCATGATAATTTGTCTCCAGAAATATGTACTTCTTGTGATCCAACTAATTTTTTGTAAACAAAAGACTCAACATGTGTAGAAGTTTGTGATAGTAATTAATATTTAGATACTAGTGTAGTTAATATGCATAAATGTATGAATTGCAATATTATATGTCTTACATGTAAAGATGCGATTTCTTGTAAATCTTGTGCAGATGGCAAATTTTTAAATACTAGTACTTTGTTATGTGAAGAATGCGATAATTCATGCGCTACTTGTGAAGATGGTACTGATAAAACTAAATGTCTGTCCTGCTCATTACCTTTATATTTGCAATAACTGGAAAAAAAATGCGTTAAAGAATGTTATCCAGGCTATTATATTAATACTTCTAACAAATGTTAAGCATGCAACAGAACATGTGCTACATGTAAAAATGGCGATTCTTGTAGTACTTGCCCTTCTGGTTTTTTGATAAATTATGAGAATAAATTATGCGATTAATCATGTGATCCTAAATGCAAAACTTGTTTATTTTCAAAATCTAATTGCCTTACTTGTAATGACCCTTATTATTTATAAATTAACCATACTTGCGCTGATTCATGTTTGCCGAATCAATATCCGGATGATACGAAAATATGCTAACCGTGTAATGTATCATGTTTAACATGTATTAATGGAACTTCATGTTCTACATGTACTGATGGTATGTATTTAGATTCTGTTACTAAATATTGCTAGCTGTGCACTACTGTTAATTGCAAAGCTTGCGATAATCCTTCTCAATAATGTACAGAATGTAATTTAGTTTTATTATCTCACTTAAAACAATTAATGCGTTAGAAATTGTTAATACGATTAAGATAATACATATGGAGATGATGCTTAAAAGAAATGTTAACTATGTAATGCGACTTGTATTACTTGTTAAAATGCATTTTCGTGTAGTTAATTGTAATGTTGGTTATTATATTAACACAAGGAGTGGTTTATGTGAAAATGTAATGATAATTGTAGAACATGTGAAAGCGGAATAGTTGACAATTAATGCGCTTCGTGTAATAATCCTATGGTTCTTTTAAGAAATAAGAAATGTGCAAATGCCGATGAAGAAGTCGATGTTGATGTCAATGTTGATGTCGATGTCGATGCCAATGCCAAATAATGTAGTAGTAAATAATATTTGGATGTAAATCAAATTTGCTAATAATGTGATCCTTCGTGTAACTCTTGTTCAAATTCTAATACATGTAATACTTGTGTTGAAGGTAGATATTTTGTAATAAGTACTTTAAAATGTGAATTATGTGACTTAAATTGTAAGACATGCATAGAAAAGGACAAATGCTAATCTTGTGCATAGAATTATTTTTTAAACTAAAATAAATAATGTATATAAGAATGTGATAAATAAAAGTTTCGAGATTCTAATGGAATTTGTTAACCATGTCCTTCTAATTGTTTAAATTGTAAATAATCTAATGAATGTACAAGATGTTTTTAGGGATTTTATTTATCTAATAGACTCTGCATTAAAGAAGTTGTTTGCTCTGGAAATACTTATTTTGAATAAAATTAATGTAAAACAGAATGTTCTAAAAAAAAATTTAAAAATTCGATGAATAATAGATGTGATTCTTGCCATGTTACATGCAAAAAATGCACAGAAGCAAATAAATGTTTAGAATGCGAATATGGACTTATTTTGAATGATGATGGTAAATGTATGTAATATGAATAAGAAACACATGCTACTAGTAAGTTAATATTTAAAATATATCTCGTAATTACTATATATACATTCATAGCGTGTATAATTTGCCATTTCTTAGATAATAGGTCAAAAAATTTAGGAGAAACAGAATGTAAACCCAAATAAGCAAAAACTTAAACAAAAAACGTAGAAAATCAGGTTGTGGTAGAAGACATAATAAGTAATGAAAACAAAAGGTAAAGTTCCAAATAAGAAATTCAAAAAGCAAATTAAATAGACTAATAAAAATTAGCAGTAAATGCTAAAGGGAATAATTTTAAAATTGAAATGAATTTAAGAAAAAAAAATTATTTAAATAATTAAACTTAAATGAGTCCTATTAGTCCTGAAATTGATATGACTGAATTTGAAAATTATAGCAAACAAAATAAACTTAATAAAAAATTACAAATCATCAAAACGGTTTAACTGTTATTAATGTTTAATAATCATAACTAAAGAAATAGTATAAATAC